CATCGTCATCATCAGCATCATAAGCATCAGCATCATCATCAGCATCGTCATCATCAGCATCATCATCAGCATCATCATCATCATCATCATCTGCAGCATCTGCAGCATCATCAGCATCATAATCAGCATCATCCGCATCATCCTCATCATCATCATCAGCAACGACAACATCATTAGTTGCAGCAGCAACAACATCCTCATCATCAGCATCCTCATCATCATCATCATCATCATCATCAGCATCATCATCAGCATCATCATCAGCATCATCGTCATCACCATCATCACCATCCTCAGCATCTGCATCATCCTCATCATCATCACCAGCAGCAGCAACAGCATCATCATGCTCATCACCATCATCAGCATCAGCATCAGCATCATCATCAGCATCAACATCATCATCATCACCAGCATCATAATCATCATCATCACCACCACCATCATCATCATCATCATCATCATCATCAATATCATCAGCATCGTCCCCTGCTTAATCTCAGCGATCTCATGGGACTGTGGAGGTATTGGCGGCGCGCCGCGCGGAGAACAACGCACGGCACGGTTGGGTTAGGGGGTCGTTCGCTGGGCAGCCTCTCCGTCGCACTGAGCCTTGGGGCACCACCGCGGAGCTAGAGGGTCGGCAAACTACAGGGCAGTTCTTAATACATAGGATTGCAAAAATATAGGATTTTGAATACAGGATTCATGTATGACTAAATGCATGCATGAACTCATCGCTGTTTTTAATGCTGAATCCCTGCATGTCTAACGCATGATCCGCACGCGGAGCATGTGTTAAAAACGGCACTGCAGGCCTCTGATGCTGAAGGCCCTCAGGTGCCCCTGGAAGGTCACGCACCGCGGGGGGTCCGGCGTACCCTGGAGCCTCGGCCGCCCGCCGAGAGGTGGAAGCTTCTATAGCGGGCAGGCAGCACGCCATGCAGCCCGAGGGAGGGCGCTGGAAGGGGCTGCGCTGTGAGCAGCTGGCGCTCGACCCCCAACTCTGCGACGTCGACCCCGCGCCCCCGTGTCCCTCTACCTTGGACTCGGCCGAGGCGCTGGCCCGGCCCCCCCCCTCCTCCTCCGTCCTCCTCCTCCTCCTCCTCGTCCTACTCGTCCTCCTCCTCCTCCTCCCTCCTCCTCCTCCTCCTCCGTCCTCCGTCCTCCTCCTCCTCCTCGTCCTCCTCCTCCTCCTTCCTCCGTCCTCCTCCTCCTCCTCCTTCTCCTCCTTCTCCTCCTCCCTCCTCCTCCTCCTCCTCCTCCTCCTTCCTCCTCCTCCTCATCCTCCTCCTCCTCCTCCTCCTCCTCCTCCTCCTCCTCCGTCCTCCGTCTCCGTCCTCCTCCTCCTCCTCCTCCTCCTCCTCCTCCTCCTCCTCCTCCTCGGCCAAGGCGCTGGCCTGGCCCGCTCCTCGAAGAATCCCTTCCCAGGCTCTGCCAGAGCTGACCCTGGCCCAGAGCGCCCCAGCTTGTCCAGGGAGGCCCAAGTGGCCTCCAGAGACCCCTCGACCTCGAAGCCAGGACCTCTCGCGACCTCCGACTTTCGACGGCGACCGATCCGCCCCTGCCTTCTTGGCTGCGGAGGAGTGCCAGCGGGGAGGGGGCGCAGCGCCCCCCAAAAAAGCTTGTGCGCACTCGCGCCACCTGGGGCTGTCGTCAAGTGGTTGTCCTGGCTGGCCCTGGCCGAGAGGCGGCCGCGAGCATCTCCAGCGCTCGGTGCGCTGCCCAGAGCAGGTGGCGTAGGAGCGTTCGGCGCTCCATGCCCGCCCTGCTCGGCGCTCGAGGCTCCTGCTCCTCCTCCTCCTCCTCTTTCTCCTCCTCTTCCTCCTCCTCTTCCTCCTCCTCCTCCTCCTCCTCCTCCTCATCATCATCATCATCCTCTTCCTCTTCCTCCTCCTCCCCTCCCTGAGTTGCCGCGAGCCCCACCTGAAAGTTAGTCTGCCGGGTTAGTTCAAGCACCTGGTGCCACGTGCGTGACGCTGGTAAGGCTTCGGGCTGCACGCAGGCAGCTCCCCAAATAGCCCCCGCTGGACTCAACAGGCCCCTCGAGTACCCAGTCCGGGGCGGTCTCAACACCCCAACCCTGGGGCGCGGAGCGCCCCATGGGAGACGCAGGAGGCGGCGCCAGGATAAGACCGCCCCAAACTATTCCAAGGCCAGCCAGGACTACCTGTGGGGGGGCTGTCTGTGCGTAACCCGAAGCCTTACATACTGTGCGTGGCCCGTCCAACAAATACAGCCAGCCCTCCTCCCGGCAGCACCTCCAGCACGGCAGGTCCCAAGATCTTGGGCTCCGTGCCGCCCATGTCAAAGGATCGCAGGAGCGTGATCATCTCGTGGTCGAGCAGGTCGATGCCCTTCGAGCAGGACGGTTAGGAGGACGGAAATTGGGAGGAGGGCCACGATGAGAAGTGAAGGCAGAGGAAAGGGAGCAAAGAGGGGGAAATGGGAGGAGGAGGAGGAGGAGGAGGAGGAGGAGAAGGAGGAGGAGGAGGAGGGAGAGGCGGGGGGAGGGGGGCCTTGCGAGCAGCCAGGTCCATGACCACGTCGGGGTCAATGCCGCCCTCGTCCTCGGAGGGCAGCCGAGGTGGTTACGCCCACTCCCCCGCCCTCCTCACGTGCGCGCGCGCCGAGGGGGCTATTCAGCGGCGAGCGAGGCCCCTCGCCCCAGACAGAAGCGGCACCGAGGGGAGCCCCTGCCACCTCTCGGCGCTGGACAAACCTCCCTTTAGTAGACCTCCCCTCAGTGAAAACGGCCTGGGACCGAAACCGACGGACCTGGACCCGCAAAAATGACGGCCGCGACGCCCCCTCGCGAACCGAAAACGGCCAATTCCTCTATCGACGTGTCAGGGCAGGAGGTCTGTCCACCTCCGAACCTCAAGTCAAGGCCAGCGAGGGGGCCCCCCTCCGGCGGGCTGGCACAGAGAGGGCCCAGAAGCCGGTGCCTGGCCACGCGGGAGGAGGAGGAGGAGAAGGAGGAGGAGGAGGAGGCGGAGAGGAGGAGGACGACGAGGAGGAGGAGGAGAGGAAGAGGAAGAGGAAGAGGAGGAGGAGGAGAAGGAGGAGGAGGAGTTGGAGGAGGAGGAGGAGGAGGAGGAGGAGGAGGAGGAGGAGGAGGAGGAGGAGGAGGAGCGTCACTTTCCCCGGGCTTGCGGCGCCCAGGCAGGCGAGGAGCAGCGGCGTGAGCTGCTGGAGGCGCACAGCACGCTTGCGCCAAGCCTCTGGGGCCTCCTCGCCGAAAGCCTCCTCGTGGCCTTGACGCGCCAGGGGCCCGCGACAAATCTGCGGGCTGGCACGCTGCTTGTGTGCCCCTGCGTCCTGTGTTAGGACGCATCTACTGGGAGGTTTTCGTCGGACGGATCAAGGAGGATTAAGCCCCATGGGGGGCTGCTACGCCAGAGTAGGCCTCGGATCAAGCGGAATTAAGCTGGACTGAGCGGGATTAGGCGGGATTAAGCCGGATTAAGCGGGATTAAGCGGGATCAAACCAGATAAAAGGGACTTCGAACCAGGGCAAAAACAGAATTTGACCTCCCAGGAGTTGCATCCGAACCTGTGTATATCTGCGTCTATCTGCGTCGTTTTCGCTGGTTGCGCTTTCGCTTGAACGAACCAGCTTCTGGCTTGAGCGAGCCTCTTTTCGCTTGAACGATCTACCCTCGTACCCATACCGCTACTCCACGGACCTCTCCCAGGGTGCGTTCTGACCAGGACTTCGAGGCGAGTCCAGCGGTGGCGACGAGGGCCTCTGAGGCGGCCCAAACAGGGGAAGACGAGGGAAGGGTGGCGGTACGGGTGCCACGTCCTCCTCCTCCTCCTCCTCCTCCTCCTCCTCCTCCTCCTCCTCCTCCTCCTCCTCCTCCTCCTCCTCCTCCTCCTCCTCCTCCTCCTCCTCCTCCTCTGAGCCACCGCGATGCCGAGTCGCACCGCGGCGGCCACGCAGCGACAGAAAGGCCCCCGGCGCCGCCTGCCACGGGGTCGGCGCGCTGGGGCATAGACTCGCCGAGAGCTCCCGGGGCCCGACAGGATGGCGCCTCGAGGGACCTGCTCCCTCCTCCTCCTTCTCCTCCTCCTCCTCCTCCTCCTCCTCCTCCTCCTACTGATCCTCCTCCTCCTCCTCTCCTCCTCCCCGAGAAGTGTGTGAGTGTATATGTAGGTGTATAGGTGTGTAAGTGTGTGTAGGTGTGTGTAAGTGTGTGTTGTAGGTGTGTGTAGGTGTGTGTATGTGTAGGTGTGTAGATGTGTAGGTATGTAGGTGTGTAGATGTGTAGGTGTGTAGGTGAGGAAGTGTGTGTGTGTGTCTGTGTGATTGTGTGTCTGCATCATGAGTAGCATTCGCATTATTATTATCATTCGTATCATTCGTCTCAATATTCGTGTGTGTGTCTGTTTGTGTGTGTCCGTGTCTGTGTGTGTGTCCTGTGTGTCTGTGTGTGTCTGTGTGTGTCTGTGTGTGTCTGTGTGTGTCTGTGTGTGTCTGTGTGTGTCTGCGTGTGCGTGTGTCGTCTGTGTGTGCCTCTGTGTGTATGTGCGTGTATCGGTGTGCGTCTGTGGGTGTGTCTGTGTGTGTCTGTGTGAATACGTGTGTCTGTCTGTGTGTGTCCGTGTGTGCGTGTCTGAGTGTCTGTCTGCGTGTGCGTCTGTGTCTGCGTGTGTCTGTGTCTGTGTCTGTGTTTGTGTGTCGGTATGACTGTGTCTGTGTGTCTGTGTCTGTGTCTGCGTGTCTGCGCCTGCGTGTCTGTGTGTCTGTGTGTCTGTGGACGCGGGGCCTATAAAGGCTAAAAGAAGCCCACCACGGGCCCAGGCCCCACTGAGGGGCCAGAGCCACAAGGGGCCACCCCAAGACCGGGGCGGGCCACAAGGGATCCAGAGAGCCCAGACGAGCCGCAGAAGGCTGCCACCAGGGCACATCGGCCCCGAGGCACCGCTCGGCCTGTCAGCTCCGACCCCCGTCGAGGTGCATCAGCGCGAAGCGCTGGGATATATACGGGCGCCTAGGGCCGCCTCTCGCGGGGGCCTCGCAGGGCCACCCATCCGAGAGGGGCCACCTAGGGCCGCCTCTCGCACACCCAGCGGGGCCGCCTTGGGCCACCGCCCACCGTGAACTCGACTGCGACTGAACACAGGAGTCTTCACTCACAGGCAAAACAGCTCTACACACGAACCCACGAATGCAACTGCATGCCAACCTCACTCACTCACTCGCCCCCCGCGATTCCTGCACTCCGAGGGCGGCTCGGGGCTCGGCCCCGCCACGCTCCTCGAGCTGCGGAAGCGGCGGCGCGCCAGCTCCCGAACTCGCCGCGTCCACCCGAGCGCGGCGCCGCACGAATGGACGGGTCGTTCGGCCAGGGTGCTCCTGGCCCCAGAGCCTCATCTGCTTCTCCACGCCCTCGACAAAGTAAACGTCGCTCTGGATGCCGACGCTGATCTGCCGCAGAGCGCTCTCCTCGCACGTGCTGACCGCGGCGTTGTGGCTGACGACGTTAGGCACTGTCGGCGCCCTGCTAACCGCCTGCGCGCCGACCGCCACGCCCGAGAACACCACGGCCCCGCACGTGCATCGAATGCCCGCCTCCGCGTCGCAGCGCCCGCCGCCCGCGGCACGGCACGGCAGCGCAAGGGCAGTCGCCCCCCGCGGGCTCCCGCAGGGGCCCTGGCACGGCACCTGCAGCCAGCTCCGCGTCGCACGACTCCACGGAGTCCACGTCGTCGACGGCGACCTCGTTGCGCGGCAGGGCCTCCCAGCAGCCTGCGGACGGCACGAAGTCCAGCGCATCGACGTTGTGGGGAAAGGCCAGGCGCCTCCAGGAGGCACGGCGGCTGCCGCGCGCGAGACGCCGACCCCGCTGCGCCTTGCGCCATGCAGCCGGAGGGTCAGACTCCTCAGGGCATACCGCGGCGTGCAGGGCCACATTACGACGAAGAACTTCACAATCTGCAGCTGGGGTCTCCTGCACCAGTGCGCACAGGGCGGGGCGCGCAATGCGCTCGCGGCGCGCCACCTCCCTGGCCACGCCATCTGGAACAGCAGGGCCCGCAAGTAGGTCGCGGAGACGGGCGCACTCGTGCTGCGCCTCCGCGAGCCTGTTCTTCAGCTTGAAAATGAGCGCGTCGGCAGCCGCCTGGGCGCGCCGCGCCGCATCGCCGCGCTCGCGCCGCGAGCGGGGGAACCGCAGAGGGTCCCCTCCCGTGGCCATCCCTCGCTCAAGCAAGCCTGAACCGAGCTGGCTTGAGCCAAAATGGCTACGGATGTGTCTGTGTGTCTGTGTGGCTGTGTCTGTGTGTCTGTGTGTCTGTGTGCCTGTGTCTGTGTGTCTGAGTGTGTGTGTGTGTGTCTGTGTGTGTGTCTGTGCCTGTGTCTGTGTCTGTGTCTGTGTGTCTGTGTCTGTGTGTCTATGTCTGTGTATATGTGTGTCTGTGTGCCTGTGTGTCTGTGTATATGTGTGTATGTGTGGTGTGTCTGTGTGGCTGTGTGTCTGTGTGTCTGTGTGTCTGTGTGTGCGCGTGTGCGCGTGTGCGCGTGTGCGCGTATGTCCGTGTGTGCGTGTGTGCGTGTGTGTGCGTGTGTGCATGTGTGCGTGTGCGCGTGTGTGCATGTGTGCGTGTACGTGTGTGCGTGTGTGCGTGTGTACGTGTGTGCGTGTGCGCGTGAGTGCGTGTGCGTGTGCGTGAGTGTGTGTGTGTGTGTGTGTCTCGTTGTGCGTTTGTGCGTTTGTGCGTGCGTGCCTGCGTGCGTGCGTGCGTGCGTGCGTCCGTGCCGTGCGCGCGTGCGTTCGCGTGTGTGTGTGTACGTATGTATGTGTGGGTGGGTGGGTGTGTTGGTGTGGGTGTTGTGGGTGTGTGGGTGTGTGGGTGTGTGTGTGTGTGCGTGTGCGTGTGCGTGTGCGTGTGCGTGTGCGTGTGCGTGTGCGTTTGCGTGTGCGTGTGCGTGTGCGTGTGCGTGTGCGTGTGCGTGTGCGTGAGCGTGTGCGTG